CTAACCAGTATTTTCGCCCCTTCCCAAAATGACTTCAACGGAAGGTTTCCAGATGGATATGCGGAGCAAATCCATCTGGCGGAGTCAGGTTACCAGACAAGGCAACCTGAGAGGCAGGGTACACCCTGGACAGGTTGCCAGTCCATCGCAGGGCAACGCAGAGACAAACATGACAACCATTCACGCACACACTCACATCTAAGGAGAATTTAGACAAGTCAGTTAACCTAACATTAATGTTTTTGGACTGTGGGAGGAAGCCGGAGTACCCAGAGAGAACCCACGCATGCTCAGGGAGAACATGCAAACTCTCAGCCAAGAAGAAATCAAAGAAAAAAACACCAGAATTACAGCAAAAAAAAAAATCTAAACTTGTGCATTTGATTCTTGTTTTTAAAAATCTCTTCAGTTGTTTAAGCATTTAGCTCTTACAAAAAATGAACTCTAAATAAGCATTTAAAGCCAAAAATAAGAACAACCTTCATGTCCAGCAGAATCATAAACGTGTCTAACTTGTTTGTGGTTCATCTGTAGCTTTTATACAAAACAACATCAAGCAGAGAGCAGTTTTATTTATTAGTAAAGTATAAAAGGTTCAATTGTGTTCCACTATGAGAGCCTGAGGAGGAGGTAGAAGCTCACAATGAGTGTGTTTGTTATTGACCTGGCAGAGAAAGGCATGTGGGGGCAGCTGATTATCAGAGCTGCACTGTGTGTGTGTGTGTGTGTGTGTGTGTGTGCTGCAGGGTAATCAGGCAGGTTGAAGCTTTCCGTCAGCGTTGATTTGGTAAAAAGACGAGACGTCACAGGCAGACTAACTGGATCTGCAGCTTATTGCTCTCCTGTTTGCTTCCTGCAGATAAAAAAAAAAAATGGCTGAATCACACAGGCTGACAACGCAGGGCAGGAAGGTAAGTTTACACACCTGGCAAACAAGAAGCAGTTAACAGCTAACCAGAACACACACAGGCTCAGGAACTGTCCTGTAATCAGTGTTAGAAATGTAAATAGAGTTCCCTGAGGACAGCCAGGACTTTAGCTTTCTAGTTTTTTAGCTTTTAAAAAAAGGGGGTGTGAACCTGTTTTAGGCTCAGCTTGTTTAAAGTTATCTAGAAAACACAAAGGATCCTTTGAAAGCTACCAAAATAAAAGTACTGCTATCTCGTGTGGGTCAGAAGAGCTTTGTTTAAACCAATAAAATTGAAAATTACTTTTGGTTAAAGGTTTTTTGTGATGACCGAGGAAACTGCTAAAACTTGATTGATTTTTTTTTTGTTTTGTTTTATTGAGGCCTGAGGGTCAGGGGCGGATTTAGGAAATTTGGGGCCCTAGGCAAAGACAGGCAGGGGGCCCTCTGAATGGAGAAGACAACACATAAAACAGACCCATTCT